CTTGCAAATCCTCAAATGAAATTGTCAGAACTAATTTTTCCATTTCTTGATTCATATTCAGATTTTATATTTATATTTATATTATGTTCTGTTCAATTTGAATTGCTTGGGTTAGTTTTTAATTTTCTTTGACGGGTAAAGTGAATTTCAAATTTTACAAAAATGTGCTGGGTAGGTTGAGTGAATTTTGAAGTCCAGTGGTCCATCACTCGTCTAACTGTGTTATGAGCCCACAAAGAAGCCTCGCCAGAAGCCTCGCCCACAGATGCTCGAGAATCCTAGAACTTTCCAGAGAAAATCCCAGAAGCGTTTTCAAGGCCCAGTCTTTACTAGAATATTCTTGGCTTCCTTTAAATACCCAACCAATCCTCTACTTTCCCAAACCAATCAAGCAAAGCAGCAATTCTCTGACGACTTAAATTCTCAAACTTTCTCGGCAATCCAAACAAAACCCATCAATTTTTCCAATGTCGATCATTCCCAGCTTCCGACGAGGCGGCATTTTCGACCCTTTCTCTCTCGATGTCTGGGACCCATTCAAGGATTTCCCATTCCCTTCCTCTTCATCACTCTCCACATTCCCTGAAATTTCCCGGGAAAATTCAGCTTTCCTGAACACGAGGATCGACTGGAAGGAGACCCCGGAAGCCCACTTGTTCAAGGCAGACCTTCCGGGGCTGAAGAAAGAAGAGGTGAAGGTGGAGGTTGAGGACGACAGGGTGCTTCAGATCAGCGGGGAGAGGAACGTAGAGAAGGAAGGTGGACGAGATTAAGGCTGCAATGGAGAATGGGGTTCTGAGTGTGACTGTTCCAAAGGCAGAGGTGAAGAAGCCTGATGTCAAAGCCATTGAAATCTCTGGTTAATATCGTCTCTGTATTCTCTACTGCATGCACTTCACATTATGTATTTCTATGTTTGATTTTGGAGTGTCAGTTGTCATGAATGTTGATATCAATGAAATGAGTGTGAGTGTATGTAATATAATGGCTTGTAAATTGTTCGTTTTTAATTTAATAAAGGGATCATAATTTTGCTAATTTGTGTTTTGGGTTTTTGAATTGCATTTGCATGTGTTACTTTTTCTGTTTTCAGTTCTCTTAATAAAATGCTTTGTGATTCTAAGATTTATTATGTTCGACTCTCTCTATTTAAAGTTACATTTACTTTTGTTTCTGAATTAGAGTCTCTTGATATCTAATCATGGGCTCTGTTTGCTTTTGCTTTACCCAAATCTTAATCCTAATCCTCTGGACTCAATAAATAAATAATGATGCATCAGATTTCTGGCCAAAAAATTCACCCAGTTTTTAACAGCAATGATTCATGAATTTATATCCAAGTTTTATCGTGTTATCTAATTAATTGTAAAAAAATGGAGAAAAAAAAAAAAAAAAACAGAGTATAAAACCGCATGGGTGGCACCTTTAAGCCTTAAACCACAATCCAGATTAATCCTCACTCACACCGGGTTGGCCCGTGAGGGATAAACTGATGGCCAAAGTGGTGACTCCATACGAGAGCAGGGATTGAACCCCTAACCTCTCTTATGCTCCGTTTGGATAAAAGAATTGCCAATTACATAGAATTCTAAAATGACGGAATTTAGATTTCCGTCATTTCAATTTCTGGCAATTGAAGATTTCAGTGTCTGGATTTATGTATGTCGGATTTTGTAAATGACAGAATTGAAAATTTCAATGTTTGGATATCTCATGTAAATTATAAATGACAGAAATTAAATATTTCGAAAGAAAAAAAAACTGATAACCAACATAGAAGGTATTCCTCGAAGTATAAAATAACATATCGTTTGATGAACTAAATTAACTCAACTTAAACAAACATAGCATATTAGCAAACCAAATCACTCCCCATGTGCAATAAACATCAGCAACATACTCTTTCTTTTCTCAATTGGGAGTGCCTTCAGCATCTGAAATTGTTTGTCATTTTCTATCAGCCAAGCACATGCTTTGAGTTGTTCATTTTCACTACGACCTGGTACTGCTTGTACTTCAGCATATACCTCTGTTGGATCAAGGTTCTTAGCATCAGCACGGACTTCAAATGATAAAGCCATTCTAGCAATCGAATCAGCAATAACACCTTTGACAACAGCTCTTTTCTTTGGAGGAAGAATATCGGAAGTATTTGATGCACGATTTCTTCTCTTTTGACCATTTGTTGATGTTGGTGAAATATCATCAATAACATGAATATCTTCTAAATCTTGTGTATCACCATCCAAATCAACATAATCAACTTCATCAGTAGAATTTGATACACAAGGTATTGGGGTAAACTCAAGCTTTTTTGGTCTATCATTGTCCAAACTCATGTTTAAATATTAATGAATTGATTCATGTAGCAATATTGGTGGTGTTAATAGTGGGCCAATGACCTATCTCTCTGAATCTTAACATAATATCAGAAATCTTAACATAATTCATATCTGATATCAATTCAATCTCAATCAACCAGTTTATGCAAATTATGTGAGCATAAACAAAGTTCTGTTATTACTTACTAACATTAACAACATGAATTTGAATTCATTGTTCAAACCAAGTGAAGCTACATGTTGGCAAGAGTCGTCGTTATATTACACTCACACATTGATTCATATAACCACAAACCCGTGAAGAAGACTCAACCCAGACCCACCAAGAGGATGATGAGTAGACTAATGAAGATTATGATTTGGAGAATGACGTTGATGATGATGATGATGATGATAGTGTTTTCTCATTGCATGGAAAAACTGAGTATCGCTGCGCGATTGTACTATTTCGTTTTAAAAAAATTGGAAAAACTAGTATAGCGCTATTCTATTTCTTTTGAAAAATTAGGAAAAAACCGAGTATCGCCAGACAGCTATACTATTTCTTTTTTAAAAAATTGGAAAATCCGTGCTGGCTATACTATTTCTTTTTAAAAAATTTGAAAAATCCGTGTATAGCCGCGCGGCTAGACTATTTCTTTTGAAATATCAGAGTAAAACCGAGTATAGCCGCTCCGCGCTACTATTTCTTTTATAAAAAAATTTGAAAGGGTCGTTGTTATATGTTGGCAAGAGTTGTTATATTTACACTCACACATTCACTCATATAACCATAAACCCATGAAGAAGTTTCAACCCAGACCCACAAAGAGGATGATGAGGAGACTAATGATGATTATGATGAGGATAATGACGACGAATGACGTTGATGATGATCAGAGCCGGTCCATTGATTTTGGAGGCCCTGTGCAAATATGGATGTCGAGGCCCTACGTATACAAGTAGAAAAAAAAAATCCATATAGAAACAAAATTTCCTGACACGGGAAGAACACCTTCAGAAGGAGCTTCCCAGAAATATTTCTTTAGTCCCTCTTCCAAATCACAGAGCTGATAAATTGATTTTCCAATTTCAATGGTTGGTGAATTCTCATGTGAATGAGGGAGGGAGAAAAGAACATTGATTTTGGGGAAAGGGCTAAAGCTTGGGTAGGGCTTTATTTTGATGGAGGATGTAGAAAAACTAAAAACCAACACCAGCAAACTCACAGACAAACAAACCAACCACCACAGCAAGCACGCAGATGAAACCCAAAGAAATTCAAGCAAGAAAACACTCACTCACACAGACACGAAAGAGAATAGAAGGAAGAAGACTAAAGCTAAAACTCATAAGCTTCGTACTATGAATTCAAACAACAACAACAGCACAAAATACGAATAGAGGCAACCCCTCTTTCAGAGAGAGAGACCTTTCAGCAGAAACAATAAAAACATTCTAGAGACAAGAGAGCACACTGCCGACAGCATGCCTAATACAAAATTAGCCACAGTAGCATCACTCCTTGAGCCAATAAACAAAACATATCCTACATAAAGCATGGGCATGCTTTTACAAAGTGAATAGAATATTAAATGTGGCTTTGAATTCGGTGGACTTGGTTTAAGTTAACACAGGAGAGTTTAATATGAGAGAGAGAGAGAGAGAGAGGAGAGATGCACACAACACGGCAGAATCAAGAAGGAAAAAATATCTGACAGTTAGGAAATAATAATAATATTTTTGGAATAAAAAATACATAATATATTGCTGGGCTTCTAAAAACATTTGGGGGCCCCTAAATTTTGGGGGCCCTGTGCAGTCGCACAGCCCGCACATGCTATGGGCCGACTCTGATGATGATAGTGTTTTCTCACTGCATGTTCAAGGTAGCACTACATATTTTTTACCCTTCCTTTATATTTCCTGCTTCTTTTTGCTACGTATTGTTTCGTATTTACCCTTGTTCTAGATAATTAGTAAGAAATATTATTCCCTCGCAATTTTTATTTTTATTTTTCCCAATTCATACTAATTCTTCACGTGACACTAGACCACCTAATTATTCCATTGAAGGGTAAAAAGTGAATTTCAAATTTTACAAAAATAGTGCTGGGTAGGTTGAGTGAATTTTGAAGTCCAGTGGTTCATCACTCGTCTAACATTGTTGGAGCACCTCCACCCAGAAGAGTAAGGGCAAGGCAAAGGCAAAGCAAGGTTTGTAACTATTCACATGAATAGTAGCAGCTTTGCCTTTTTGTTTCCACCCCAAAGGCAAGGGCAATGGCAATTACTATTCACTTTAATTTATTTTCTATTTTTTATACTTAAACCATTAATTTTGATAAGATTTTTCGATAAAATTTTCAGTTGCCACGTGTCACTATTTATTATAAAATTCTTATATCAAATTTCAGATAAGATTTTCAGACTAAATTTTAGGATTAAATTTTCGGTTGCCACATGTCCGTATTTATTATAAAATTCACATCTCACTCATCATACAATTGAAATACCTACTAACTCCTCATACAATTGAAATACTTCCAGTCCTCATAGTCCGACACAATCGAGTATAAGGACGACTCAATCATTGGCGGAGGCGGTTCCACTGGATCACGACGTGGGGGAGTATTTTCCTTTGTAAGAGTAATAGTGCCATTATTTCCGACACAGAACGCACCACTGGAACCGACTGCGGACATTGTTCACTTGAGAAGCCATGTATAATGATTTTCCTATTTTTTGTTTGCCTTGAATAATCTATTAAAAAAATGAAATTGGAAACGCAAGAAATATATTTTAAAAAACGACATTAAATTGAATAAAACGACTTATTTTTTCTTTTTACCTCGTCGCCAAGATTTTGACCTCTTCCAACGTTTGTCCATGACTCTCTAACAACAGCCCAGTCAATTCTTGCCTGTGCGCTTGTCTGGGCTGGACCTTGCGCGCTGGAGGGGGGTTTGGGGCCTGGGGCTGCCATTTGCCCGGGTTTGGGCTTGCGCTGGAGGAGCCCTTATGAGCCCACAAAGAAGCCCCGCCCACAGATTCTCGAGAATCCTAGAATTTTCCAGAGAAAATCCCAGAAGCAAGGCCCAGTCTTTACTAGAATATTCTTGGCTTCCTTTTAAATACCCAACCAATCCTCTACTTTCCCAAACCAATCAAGCAAAGCAGCAATTCTCTGACGACTTAAATTCTCGAACTTTCTCAGCAATCCAAACAAAACCCATCAATTTTTCCAATGTCGATCATTCCCAGCTTCCGACGAGGCGGCATTTTCGACCCTTTCTCTCTCGATGTCTGGGACCCATTCAAGGATTTCCCATTCCCTTCCTCTTCATCACTCTCCACATTCCCTGAAATTTCCCGGGAAAATTCAGCTTTCCTGAACACGAGGATCGACTGGAAGGAGACCCCGGAAGCCCACTTGTTCAAGGCAGACCTTCCGGGGCTGAAGAAAGAAGAGGTGAAGGTGGAGGTTGAAGACGACAGGGTGCTTCAGATCAGCGGGGAGAGGAACGTAGAGAAGG